TTTTTTATACCCTCTCTAGCTTTTTGTTTGGAAGTTTTCTGTTCCTGTGGCATGAACTTTGAGGCTATTTCCTGTGTCACGTATTCTGACCTGAGTTTAGGTGTGCCTCTATGGTATACTTGATGGTAATGGGTTAATCCTATTATATCCCAAAAGTCATCTCCTGCTTCCCTGGGGCTGGGCTAATGACTCTTAAGAGTTTCTTTGTCTTGAGTTCCCTGCTCCAACCTCCCTGATGGTTTTACATCTGCATTTGTATAGGGCTGGCTCTTGCTTGGGGCAAAGAAATTTGGGGCCAGGTTTGATTTCTGCTTTTAAAAATCCTTTTGAGGAAAATATATATTTTCCTGCCCCCTTTTAATATTTCCTTCTCTAGGCTAACCTCCCTCAATCACCAGTTAAGTCATTTTTTTTCTAGTTCACATTCTGTTGTCTGGATTGTTTGTTCATTCTTTACCATAATTCTTTGGATGTTTTTTGATTGTAGATTTAAGTTAGAAGTATATTCACTTATAGTATCAAAGTTATGTTTAATCTCCTCATGGTTTAAGTCTATTGTAGTTTGTATCTGTTGTAGCATTGCATACATTTCATCTTGGAAAGTATTTGTCTTGACTTGAAGTGTTTCTAAAGGTCTTTGATCTTTCAGGCTAAATCTTTGAGGAGTAGATATTAAGTGTGGTTTTCTATCATTTTTTTGATTAGTATGTCATATCCATGTTGTCTCCCCAGTAAAATCAATGTTTTATAACAATTATTTCTTTTAGGAGTCAATTGTCAATTCAATATATTTAGCCAGCTTAAATCCTTCCTGTAACTTCCCTTCTTGATAATTTGTCATAGACCGAAGTTTTTAAACAGTTCATAAATTTAAACCAGTTCATAAATTTAAAAGTATTTCTTTTCCTTCAAACACTTTCCAGCCCAGTATGCAATCTCTTGTCTGTTCCTTAGCAACTATCTTTTTAAATGTTATTAGAGTTCATAGGAACAGATTTTTTTTATTTGTTTCTGGGCATTGTCTTTAATGTGCTATATTCTCATTGTTCACTAGATGTCAGCAAATATTTATTTTTCAGCTCTTTCAGACAAAAAGTTATTATTTTTTCTTTTTTTATGTAATTCAGTCAAAATCCTTTAGAATATACTCTTAGCAGTTTTAGTTTCTAAGTTTGATCAGATTGTAGTATTTTGAATTTAATTTCAATAAAGTTCTTTCCTCCTTAAAAGTTAATTCACCGCTTCTGTCTATGGGGGAATGGGAATGTAGTCCCCTCCCCTCACTTTCGGAGGTTTTTTGCTTTGGGGATCTCTCCCAGGGACTAGTTGTAAAATAAGGGAGAGAAGATAAAATACTCTCACCAGTCCCAAGCACACTGTTCACCGTTGTTCTTGGTAGTGCTCTTGGACTTTGGCTGCAGTAGCTTGGGCTAGACTAGGGGTCGGCAACCATAAACACTCAGAGAGCCACTTGGACCTGTTTCCCACAGAAAAGGGGCTTGACTGAAAAGTTTAATTAAAAAGAAATAGAGGGTGCTGTGCATGAGTTCTCTCTCTCTCTCTCCCTTTCTCCCTCTTTCTTTCCTCTCCCTCTCCCTCCCTGTCTCTGATCTTCTGCTCACCTGGCAAGCTGGCTTCAGGCTGTTCTCCAACAATCTGACACACATTTTTATTGGGCTGGCTTTCTCCTACCCTTCCTGCTTCCTGCAGAGATGCAGCCAAGGCAGGAGCCCCGCCCAATAAGCTTGTCAGCTTGTTGGAGAACAGCGTGAAGCCACTCTCTTTTTTACACACACACACACATACACACACAGAGAGAGGGGGGGGGGAAGCGCAAGTGCCTCTCTCTGTCTCTCTCTCTGTAAATGGCAGAGGAGGCTGGGAGCCGCAGGAGAATGCTCAAAGAGCCACATGCGGCTCCAGAGCCGCGGGCTGCCGACCTTGGGCTAGACGCTGGGATGCGGCTAGCCTTTCTCCTGTCGGGTTCGGAGGGCTTTCCCCAGATCAAACAAAGCGATTGCCGTCGCATTGTGATCAATGGGGCGCTCCTCCTTCATGGTCACCTCTACGGGGTGACTTCGGACCTATCTAGGGTCCCCCTGGCAGGGCGAAATTAGCCATGGGGAGTGGAGGTCCACTCTCGTATGGCCATGCACTACAAGCACAAACTGGAAGTCCCCACAAACCGGAAGTCTCCTAAAATAGCATACATCTTGATGGCCTTGTTCCTCTGACCCTTTGGGTACACTCTCACTAGACAGATTTTTGAAAAAGACCTGCCATCTGCAGGATATTTGCATACCTGTGTACACTGAGAGGTGACTACTGGTGTGTTTGAAGCAATGTTCTTCTGCTCCCCACCTTGCCTGTTGGCATCGTCAGCTGGCTCGTCGGTCCAAGGAGCTGGGCTGGGGTATAGTGTTGTGTTTGGGCTGTGGTTTTGCACTTTGCATGTTACACTGACCTTACAGTCCTTGGCAAGGTGTGATGCAAATGAGCAATACCTGAAGCAGATGTGATTCTCTTTAGGAAGGCTTTGCGGTCCTCTAGAGACCTCTCTCTGAAGGCTCTACATTTCAGAAGAGGATGCAGCTTCTTATGTAGAGGGCACTGAGAGGAGTCTGGTGACCTGTAAGGCGAATCTGATAAGGAGGGATTAGTTTTAAACACTGCCGTTGGTGACCTGTTCAACTTGGAACCAGGAGGTCTGGTGTATGCCAGTGTGGGGTCAAAATCAGGATCGTTCATGACTTTCACTTGCTTTGAGACAAAGTCCACAAATATGCTGAATGGGGAAATGGCAGCTTGGAATTGTCTTATGCTTGAACCTGTACGTAACCCACTTGTGTTGTAGGTTATTAGACTATGGGTCTAATTCCCCTGGCCATGTCCAAGAAAAAGGCCTGGTAGATCACCCTTTTCTTGGGCAGCTTGTTGCTCTTGCAACAAATCCTTGAGTTCTCTGAGCTTTTGGTACCCCCTGCTGGTTATCTTAGGGAAATCTTCAAGTTTCTTAAATTGCCTCTTCAATTACCTCTGCTAAGCAACAACACTCCTCTAATCTTTCCCTGCTCATCTTAAGACCAGTTTCTGGCATTCTATGTTAATGTTCCTGATCCTCCTAGCATGCTGAGCAGAGTCTTTCCCAAGCCATTGGACTAAGAAGTCCATCTCCTTAGTGTAAATTAAGTCTAAACCCCTTACTGTACTTTGGAAGGATGATCACCAGGCTCTTTCTGTCCTAATGGTGGCAGTGTGCAGATGATTCTTGTGATACCCTTTGATTCCTGTGGTGACAGGACATCTTCAGCTGATCTCAAATGCTGGTACACGTATTCTGAAGTGCGCTGCATAGGGTCTTGCTCCCCATCTCTGAGCCTAGCACATTGCTGGGGACACTACGCTCCTTGTCAAAGTCTGTAGCTGCTTCTAGGGCTTCTGCCACGGCAGCTGTTGCTTCCCTTTCTAGGGCAATCTTCTCCCTTGCCACTTCCAGGTGCTTGCTCTATCTTTAATTGCATATTCTGGTTGGGAAAGGCAGCTTGTTTCTTGGCTGCTTCAGCTTTTGCGCGGGCAACGGGGCCATGCTGCTGATGGTTGCTTGGTGCCACTGAGCATCTGTGACTTGCTCTTGCATGAGGATGCTTGGCTGCAGGATATTGTGCCACAATTACACAGAGATTGGTGGAAGCCCATGCCATATAAACTTAGAAATATCCATCTACCATTGTTTAAATGGAGTATCAGTTGCAAGTATTGGTAATGTCTGAAACAACAAAAAAAGCATTTTTGCTAAAACAACTTAATTACAGAAATTCTATCCAATAATCATAATTGCAATTTATCCCATCTCTGCAAACTCTTTTCTGATATCATTCCAAAGAGGCATATAATTATTTTGAAACAGTTTTGAATTGGTATTTGCCAATATAACCCTCATGTATTTCACCTTTTTTCTCAACCTTACAATTAAACTTTTTAGTCAATAGGTCACCATCCTGAGAGGTCATATTCTTAATAAGCATTGTTGCTTTCTATTTAAAACCTGCCAAAACCCCAAATGGCAAGATGCTAATGAAAAAAGAGGTTTGGGTTTATGAGATTTGAAATTGTATTACGACACTTGTTGTTTGGTCTGGCTGAATGAGTGGGTGAATTTTTAGAATAAGAGGTTATGACTTAAAGTGCAATGAATTAAGATTTAGATGGCACCGTTATTTATGGTATGAAAAAAATAAAGTAAATATTGATTTTAATAAGCATTTTGTTAGTAGTGCCATCCTAAGAGTTAGGAATAAATATAAAACAAGGCTTTCCGTGAAGAGATCTCTTTGGTGAAACTGTGCTGAAGCCAGACTGGTGGACTTATGGTCAAATACTATATTTTAATTTTGGTGATTCTACCCTTAAGTTTAAGGAGAAGTTAGAATCAGAAGAACAAATCTGCTATTGGTTTACATATTTACAATTGAAAGGGGCTGAGTGCCGGTGTCTGCGCTGGTTGCAGTCTCTGTGTAACCTTTTACTAGAAGCCTCTCTAGCTGCGCTGTGTGATAAGAAAGTGGCTGTAATAGCGGCTTGCAGGCTGTCTGCAGATTGTGTTGCCCAGGAGTAGGCAACCTTTGCTCTTTTATGACTCGTGGACTTCAACTCCCAGAATTCCTGAGCCAGCATGGCTCAGCTTGGAAACCTCTTTCCCTCAGCATGGCTGGCTCAGGAATTCTGGGAGCTGAAGTCCACGAGTATAAAAGAGCCAAGGTTGTCCACCCCTGGACTGTAGCCCTTCCTGGTAGATCAGGTAAAACTAAAGGAAAACAATGTAGCCTCCCTGGTACCTCCCAAGGCTCAGCCTGCCTAAAGGTACGTAGGGAGGAGCCGCTAACCGGCCACGCTTGAAGAGGGAGCCAAACTGCAAGCTGGAAAACTGTGAGGGGCTTCCCTTCCCAGCGAATAGAGGCTGGAACGACTTCCCTTCCCGTCAAGGCTTGCAACAGGAAGTGACGAGACAGGGAAAGGCACGGACAGAAAGGCACAGTACGTTGGAACAAGCGAGCCCATTTGTCTTGCCCGAACGGCAAACGCTGGACCGAACAACCTGCCCTGTTTAGCTTCTGAGCCCAGGCATGGTAGTCCAAGGCTGCCACCTGCTGAGGCAAAATGCAACAAGACTGCATAGGGCTAACGGTGTGAAGTCCAAAAATCTTGACGTCAAATAGAAGACTGCAAAACGTGGTAATTTTTGTATTTTTTTTTTTCGATCTACTGAGCGGCACAGTGATGTAGTTTTTTGGAAACAAGACAGGAATCTTCAGACTTTACCTCTATTACCTGTTTAAATAGCTCTACATTTCAGTCAACCCGGAAGCTATACAAGAAAGCGAAAGTCATATTTCTTTTTCTAGATTTATGTTGCTAAATTCGCGTTTCTTCTGCTTCCGGTAGGAAGACGTCCCTCATTGGCTGGGCGAGCAGACAAACGCCAAGGGCTCTGGGAGGCCGGGCAGAATCGTCGGGAAAGTTCGAGAGGGGAATCTGTGCGGCTGCGCCAACGCCTGGCCCTGAATAAAAGTTGACCATCAAATAAGCTGGTGCTCCGCTCAGAGATGGAGGAGGTGAGAAAGAGGGTAGTTCTGTCCCCGCAGGGAGACCCATATCCGAGCTGACGGGGTGGGGAACAACCCTTCGCCGGCCTGGGCGGTCCGGCGTAGCGGGGTCAGGCGTGTTGGATGGTGGGTTAGGGGCATCGCCGGGGCTTAGGATGCCAGAGAAGTCAGCGGAGGGATGCTCTATCTCTTTATATAGATGATAGAACCAGAATGTTTCTAGTCCAGAATTATTAACTTTCCCCCCCTTCAGTCAGGCTTGATTCCTGGCTGCTGGCTGGACAAGTCCCTGCAGTTTTCTTGGCAAGGTTTTTCTGAAGTGATTTGACAGTTCCTCCTTGCTAGCGCTAAGAGAGAAGGGGACTGGCCCTGCTGGCTTTGTGTCTTAAGTTAGGACTAGAGATTCTGGTCTCTTGGTTTCTAGCCTGGTGCCTTAACCACTACACCAAAGTGGTTCTCTGGTTCAGATTTTGTTGTTGTTAATTGCGAAGTCGTGTCCGACCCATCGCGACCCCATGGACAACGTTCCTCCAGGTCTTCCTGTCCTCTACCATCTTCTGGAGTCCATTTAAGTTCATACCTACTGCTTCAGTGACTCCATCCAGCCATCTCATTCTCTGTCGTCCCCGTTCAGATTTTAGGTGACCTTAAACCACTTCATCTCCTTGCCATAGTCAATCTCTTCATTCTGTGGGTAAATTCTCTTTTTACAGGACAATGATCAGTGTTGCTGTGCTCTCCATTTAAGTAATTAAAATGCTGCTGTAATTCTTTCTAAATGTCAGTAGCCTGGTTTTATCCTTTAGTTTGTCTCTGGGGTTTGATCTTTATTATTCCACTTTTTATAAGCTTGCCCCTCAAGCAGATATTGATAGAATATTTGATAGAAATGCTAATTTGTATAATCAATATATTCCGTGCAGCTACAGAAAGATTTGGAAGAAGTGAAGGAGCTTTTGAAAATGGCAACAAGAAAGAGAGTATATGACTTTCTGCTGGCAGAAAAAAACAAAATAGAGAGAGAAATCAAGAATCGGCAGCCACTCAAACTAAAAGCTGAAGGATCTGAAGAAGAAAAACCAATAGTCACTGGATACACAGTGAAAATCAACAATTATGGTAGGAATAGATTTATTTTTCCTCATTACAGAATGCAGTAGAAGAAAATATTGTAGCTATCACAGTACTACAATAAGCTGCATAAATTGCTTCAAACCTACATTTCAATCCAGGAGTGATTTGCATTGTTATTAATACTTGTTACAAAACCCCTTTTTGAAAATACCAGTAAATCAGCTATTTGTATTGAATCCAGTATAGATTAGATAGGAGTGATATTAAATCTATACCTTATTCAAACCGTGTAAGATGCGTGACTCAATTTTTCCCAGTGGAAATAGTCATACATGCTATGCTAATGCTAACTTGGGAAATTAGTGAATTTTCTTGACATTAGCATAGAAAACAGACTCTGATGTCTATTTATATGGAACAAAAGTCTTTTAAGAAAACCAGCATGATAAAAGTGTGAGTTGTACTGAGATAATTCTGAAGATCAGTTCTAAGAGCGTGATGTTTCAGCTCTGTTGCATTTCTTTTTCAACATCAAGTGAAGTCATAGAACTGTAGATCCAATTTAGTACCTTTGTTCCAAAATAATTGAAAAATATTCTGTGGGATCAGGGAGGCAAGGGAATAATCAGAAGAATTATTGTTCAGGGAAAAAAATAGTTGTCAGGAAAAGCTAAAGAAGCTTGACTAAATTTTGAATATAGCTGGAGTTGAAAAGATGCCAAGATGCTCATACCACAGTTATTAGAAATTTAGACTGGATCTTTGAGGTGTTGGGTCTCTTTAGTGAGAATGCTGCAAATCATTGAAAAGGTAGGTTGTAACTTCTACTCTATAAAGATAGTTATAGCAGCAACAACATAATTATTGCCTATGCTGTTGGCAAATTCAAAAATAGTTTGGTAATCTTAAGAGCCAGAGATGTGATAGCATTATTGGTTTTCACCCCAAGCTTAAGTTTAGAAGATACTTCCAATTTCCTGACAGTTAATGCCTTCCAGCAGTGGTCCAACTTGCAAATCTTATAAATGAAAACCACTAATTTTGTTTGGGCAAAGCTGATGATATGGCTTTATTACTTGTATGGAGGTTTGGAAGCTCCATATAAGCTTACTTGTGAGGTAGATAGGATTGTTTCATCACTATAAAAGAGAAGTGAAACTCGTTTTGGAGAATGGAATTCTGTTTTTGTAAGAGCTTGAAATACAAGTGGATATAAAAATTGAAGCAAGATAATACTCTTGCTTAAATACTTTTTAAATGGGATTTAGGACAGAAAAGTAACTGAAAAGGCATGTCTAACGTGTATTGAGATATGCAGTCTTCATAATCAAAGGGAGAAACAGAGTCAATAACTTTAGATGTCAGTTTTATCCATATCCTATTTCTAGGCATTGAATCAAATGCTGCCTTTAAATTGATAATAGTGATGTTATAAAATAGCTAGAATATTTTTCTAGTAGATAGGGGGACACAATACAGTGGCATCAGCCAATTGGGAGATATCCAGAAACTGGATTATAATCTACTTATGTTTAGGAGGCCAGTTGTGTAATAATTTGCTGGATCCATTTTATCCCCTTTCTTGTAATTTAACCTGAAATTGACATCCTCCAGTTTGTAAAGATTTCCAAAGAGTGAAATGTATGAGTGAATAGGTTGTCAGTACTGTGACCCATTTGCTTTTGATAGTTTCAGTATGGGAAAATGGAGATAACTGGAAGATCATGTGAGGAATTTATTCTTTTTGATACTTTGTCCTTAGAAATGCTAAATGTTGAATTCTTTCAACTGAATCTTGAAATGTTCTGGAAACCAGTGCAGCTGACCAAACACTGTATGCCTTGATTATATTGACTGGCTAATTAAATCATCAGCTCAGATGTGAAAATTGTTAAATGCAGATATATAAAAAACATGATTTCTGATACAGTAGGTATGTGAGGAACAGGATTGCTCCACAGAACATGTTTAAATGTGATTGAAAGAACTATTCAATTTGAGGCAGTGAAGTGCACAGAAGACTGCTGAGGACCTTCAAAATGCTTTATTTGATTTTTTTTTTATAGATTCTGGGTTGCAATTCATTTTATATAGTAACTTTGAAAGGACCTTAATTGAAACAAACAATGTCTTCAAAGTTTCGCATAATCCTATTTCTGTGGGTGGGGTAGCCATTACCTTTCTAGTCTTTATTTTTATGTCTAATAGGATTTTAAATTGTTTCAGAATTAAAATGAACTTGATTTAGACACGTGATCTAGATGGAATGGGTGGCACACAAATCTAATAAAGTTTACATAAATAAACATATTGAAATATTATTTAAAACCGGTATTCCCTTTTTAATATCCAAAATGCTTTTTCATTCCTTTAGCATGGGATCAGTCTGATAAATTTGTGAAAATCTACGTCACATTAAGTGGTGTTCAACATCTGCCAGCTGAGAACGTTCAGGTGCACTTTACAGAAAGGTGGGCTTTTGTTTTTTGATACAATGTGTAAGCAACATTGGGGCTGTTGCTATTGCTGCTGGCTTTCACAGAGTCTCAAAGAGATGAGAAAAATGATCCCTCCTTATATAGAAAGAAGAGATGACTCCTCTTCCCAATGTATGGTTTTACAGATAGCATGTTATACCTCCTGCTGCATCCAACCTTTATAAAAAAGGAAAAAAAGACCACCTCTCCCTTAAAGGTATACTTGCCCATTAAACAAAGCTTAGTCTAGTGATAACCATGGTTAAGATATTTGCCCACAATGCCAGAATAGTCATAATCATGCCTAAGCCAGCATCATGTAACATGGTAAAGGAGGTCCACTGCCAGCAACCAATCAACTATCCTAGTAGCTTAGCTATATGACCAATTTTTATTTTTGTTCCACTGTTTAGTTAAAATAATCCTGATCATTGTTGGTTACATAAGTGCCATTATACAAGATCAGAGGAAAAGAGAATTCTGTTCAAGATCAGGATTGTGTCCCCTTTGATACTAGGTTATCCCATAATGTTTTTAGTTTATTTCTGATAGATCCATTGTATATAACAGCTTAAATGCATGGCTGCCACTCAAGTTGACTTCTTAAAACAGTGCAATCCTTGCCAGGGTCTTATCCATCCATATTTAACAATTTTTTTAGACACTCAGCTATATTAAATTTTAGGCCCAAATGAACCTACAGTTTTTTCTCCCTTTTTGCCATTAGGGTGGCTTCTTGATGTTTATTTGATGGTTGTTCATTAGAGAATTCTGATTAATTTCTTATCCTCTTAGTTCATTTCATCTGCTGGTGACAAATTTAAACAACAAAAATTATACAATGACGTTCAACAACCTTCTGAAACCAATCTTAGCTAAAAGCAGCTCATGGAAGGTCAGTATATCTGATGTTGTCAATTTTAATACTGTTCATATAAATGCTTTGGCTGGCTTTTTACTCATTACATTTATTCATAATATATTTTATCTGGTTTGGGCTTCATATGGTGTGTGAGCTTGTCATTTGTGGTTTATTCAATGAATAATGGTTAAAAAATCTAAGGTGTAGAATGAAGCAAAACCCTGCTTTCTGGTATTTTCCTATAAATTAGTTTTATCACTAGATTGTCTTTTTCTTTGATAGATTGATAGGCAATTGCCCTTGCAGTTCCTATTCCCAAAGAGCATTTCTATTTTTCTTAGTCCTGAGTAAGAGGGAACCAGCTGCTAAATATCATAGGACTAATTCTGAGTGAATTGGTGAATCTTATCTTGGAGCACTACTTCCCCTGGCAGAGTTTTCTTCATCTTGCAAAGTTGTAAAAAAAAAAAAAAATCTAAAATCATTCATGTCACATCCAGGTTCAGCATTCTTAGAAAGTGTAGTCTCAGATTTGAGAATAGGAAGTCTCTTCTGCCTAGAACAACTTTATCAATCTAGTGCCATCACAAATGGAGACTTTTAGCTAATGCTTTCATGTTGCAATTATTAAAGCAGTGACAGAAATAGAAGGGAATCTTGGAACGATAAGTAACCTGTGGTTTTGAATTTCATGAACAACATTTAAATTTCTTAAATTATGGGGGGGGGGTTATATTCTACAAGTTTACAAAAGCAAATTATTTTAAATAACATATCTACATTGGATTTTGAAAATAATCCAAACAAGTTCCTTTCTGGTAATTCTGGCTTCTTGCGTTATTTTGAATTCTGCTTTCCTCCTACTTACAGATCAAAACTGATATGATCTTGATATTATGTAAGAAGCAGCAAGAAGAAAAATGGGAGTGCCTAACACAGGTTGAAAAAGAAACTAAGGAAAAAGAGTAAGTGTACTTCATTTGATTGTTCCAGCAGCATGATATTGTTGTTACTATTGAAAAAGTCTTGCAAGCTAAAATTCAATAAACCAAGATTCCTTTAATCCTTGTAACACATGGAAGATGAACAGATTTTAAATATTTATACTTATCCTGTTCTTGCTCATTATGGATCTTAAAAAACTTGGTGGGAAAAGAATCCAGATATCTATAGAAATGGCATTTTATGGCCAGTTGCTGAAATATGCTCACTAAAAAATCCAAATCTTTTATACAGGCAATTTTTACACTGAATATTATATTGAATATCAAGAGTAATACATGATGACATCTTGGAATTCCCCTCCTAAATGAAAAATATAACTAAACATTATTTAAATTAGCATTGGTTGTATTTTAGCAGCTTTTAGTAAAATACAATGTACTTTTTAATCTTATCAAATATATATTTGTAATGTAATGTCTATTACTAGATCTCCAGAGCTATTGCATTAGTTCAGTTTTGGGAGGCGTGTGAGAAGAAACAAGTTAGGCACTGAAAAATATTTTATTCCATGATGTTTGTTTTAATCAAATTATTTTTTCAAATGACAAGTTCAGTATGGTGCAAAAGGACTTAAGATGATAAGCTTTATTGTCACCTTTTTCTGTGAGCACACTGACACACATTAAAAACATGAAATTCTACCAAAATACATATAGAATTTAAGCCAGAATTAGGAATACTAGGATCCAACTATGAGAAAGAAAATGAGTATTTAATACCACATATATTGACAGCTGCAAGAATAGCATTTGCCTAATATTGGAAAAATGGGAATGTATCATCTGATGAAATTATAATTAGGAAAATCTTAGAATGTGCAGAAATGGACAGACTAACCCTAGAGATTAAAGAGAAAGAAGATTCAGTCTATTTTAAAACATGGGAAAACTATCAATGGTTAGCAAAATGAGTTAACGAAAAATAATTGTGAAACTTATTAAGAGGATTGATGTTTATTAATTGACACAGTCTATAATTATAGTTACTTTTGCTGACTACAACTAGTTATTATTGAACACTTGTATCCGGACGATATATTGTTTGCTAAAGCTTGAAATGTTATTGTTGTTGTACCTACCCCCGTCCCAATCCCTCCCCTGAACCTTACCCTGAATTCCACTACCTATATTGACCTTACCCTTTCTTTATCTTTATAAAACCTAATAAAATACTGTTCAAAAAACTCATGAAATTCTGATGCCCGCTCTTGAAAGAATACACACACACATATACATCTCTCTCTACACACACACACACACACACACACACACACAGAGAGAGAGAGAGAGAGAGAGAGAGAGAGATTAGATAAATCACAGACCATAAGATTACAATGTTAAAAATTTGAGCATTCAGCTCTTGTTATGGAATGTACCAAACTCAATATATAACAGCATAATATTTTCCTGTCCATGTAAATCCTTTAGGAAAGCTTCCTATGATACATCTGACCCCAGTGAAGGATTGATGAATCTACTCAAAAAGATGTATGCAGAAGGAGATGATGAGATGAAGAGAACAATTAACAAAGCATGGGTGGAGAGCCGAGAAAAGCAATCCAAAGATGATTTGCCATTAGACATTTGAACAAGTGTTGAAGACTGTGCTTGCCAATTTAATCTACATTTATGTATGGAGGTTTTGTTGCAATATTCTGTTCAGAGAACATGTGCTCTTTATATAGCCATCTTCAAAGCAAAGACTACAAAATTTATGTTTAAGATTGGAGATGGGAAATAAAATATGGTGTAAAACCTCTGTCTCCTTAAATGTTTGTCTTTCCAGCACCTCTTGGCAATTCCCAGACTGTTATATATTCAAGTACACAGTGATAAATAACCTTAGTTAAATGATTCCAGTCTCTCAGATAAAAATTGAAATACTGATTCTTCAGATGAGGTTAGCCTAGAAAGGAAACCTTCAATTTTTTGAGAACTAAGGGCTTAGGGAATTGTATTGCATCACAATAAAGTGATATGCTTAGATATGAAGCAAGATGATCAGTTAAAACAGCAATCAGACAAAAATGGTGCAATAGAACAAATATAAACTAGTTAATACTAAATCTATGCGAGTTCTTGAACATTTAGATCTAATATACTATACTACAAATATAGTATAAAACAGATTAAAGCTAAAATTAAAACTCAGAACTAAAAAGTAGTATTTTGTCTCTGTCAACAAATGGGAAATTATTGCAAAGTTATTAGGCTGAGAAACTGATGGGTGGTTTTAATTAGAGGAAAAGAGTTCAGCTTAATGACAGTAATAATGATTAATTTTTTTCAATGTATTTGCTCATTACCCATACATTTTGTTTGCTGCTACATAAAAATTATGGTACATTATATATAATGATTTCCTATCCGACAAGAGAAGATCTATAGGTAGGCTTTCATTTTGACATATACCAGTGCCAGAAGCTGGGAAGAGGCTGAGAAAAAGAACTGAGAAATGTCAGGTCTATAGCACTGGTCTTCAAAAGAACAGTTTCTGACAAACATGGAGGGAAGCTAGATTGGCTTTTCCGATGGTTTAAAATCCCTGTGAAGTATCCAGGAAGAATAGGAAATGCTACGAAACAAGATATAACTGCAAATAATTCCTATGAGGAAAAACAAGAAAAATCTGAAGAAGCCAGCACTGTGATACACGCAGAACTCTCTAAAAGGTTATGCAGGGCAAAGAAGAACTCAATAAATTAGACCTGCTGGCTTGACATCTATACCGGCAATATGTTTATGAGCGCTTGGCTAGATAGGGTACAATTAAGCCAGCATGGGTTTGTCACAACTTGTACTAGACTATCTCTTTTGATAATTACTACTTTAGTGTATCGAAGACGGTACGTAGACTTTAGCAAAACCTTTGAGAGTGCCTCATGCTTTTCCCCTTCATTAAAATGGTAAGATATAAGCTAAATGCCACTACTGTTAGATGAACTCACAGTAAGACAGGGGTGTCAAACTGCCGGCCCGCGGGCTGGATGCACCAGGTGCAAGCTGTGCCCATCCCATTGCCGGCAATGGGAAAACTGTCCTGATAACATTGCGCAATGCCAAGTGACGTCACGAGTTTGACATGTCTGCAGTAGGTTGAATGATTGCACTCAAAAGTGATTAATGACCACCAAAGCTTGGAGAGGAGTACTGAGTGGAATGTTATAGGGCTCCATCCTGGACTTCTACTGGTTTAACACTTCCATCACTTACCTGAATGAAGGAGTTAAGAAACTTAAAAATTTGCAAATGACACAAAATTAGAAGGAATGGCTAATACTTTAGATAGAAAATTCAAAGACAGGGTTTTCAGTAGGCAGGCATAAGGATGGAATTTAATATGCAAAATATAAATTTCTTCATGTGACTAGGAAAAATGTAAGGCAGAATAATAAATTCATGAGACTTGACTTGGTGGTAATACATGTGAAAAGAATCTGAGTGCCCATAAATAAAAGCCATCAGTGTGATCTAGTTGTTAAAAAGGAACATTGCTATTTTGGGGTACATTAACAGGTGTCCTGAGTCCAGATTATAGAAGGTTATTGTTTCACATTACTCTGGCCAGGTCAAGTCCCACTTGGAATACTGTGTTCAGCTGCAGGCATCATAGTTCAAAAGGGACAATGACAATTTGGATTAAATGGCCTCTATCTAAGAGATGGATTCCATGTCCTCATTTGGTAGTGCTTGTGGTGGTACCAGGGACCACCAACAGTAGTACTTCAAGGGGTTCCTGAATGAGAGCATTCACTCCAGATTTTAGGATAAATAGTGTCATTGTACTCCACTGGTTGAACTTCAAATAGAGCACTTCTGAGCACAATAAAAGGAACAAAAAGCTGGAACACATTCACAGAAATGCTTTGAGAATGAGGGTGAATCATTCCCTAAGAACAGTTAAGGTATATTACATTGAAAAGGAAGACTGAGGAGAGATTTCATAAAGGTTTACAAATATTTATGGGTGTCATACTAAAAGCAGGCAAAAGACCAACAATTTTAAATAAAATGTTGGGAGGGAAGGTTTTTTTTTTGGCAGTAACTATAGCTAAACAATGGCAGTCTGCCTAAAACCAATGGAGATTTTCCTTTGCTGGGGGGTGGGGGGTGGAATGGGGAGTTCAAATAGACTAGATGTCTGTTCAGTGAGGATGTGCACCAACTGAGCAGGAATGGGTATTGGATGAGCTATAAATTTATTTCAACTTGTACTCTCTACTTAAATCCCCATTTTTCTGAACACCAGTTTTGGGCCATGCATATACCATGTTTCCCCGAAAATAAGACTTGATCTTATTTTTTTTTAACCTCCAAAAGAGGCACCAGGTCTTATTTTCGGGGGATGTCTTTTCCATGCTCTCACCTTCCACACTCTCACCATGCCCAGCCAGCCCACTTCTTCTGCAGCCGAAGGAAATGCCTCTGCAGCTGAGAATGGAGCTCCAGATTGATGTGTACAGTACCCCCCTGGCCTGCATTTTGCTGTCAGAGGCCTTCTGGAAAGGCCTCTGCAGCCAATAACCAAGCTACAGATTGAAACCACCACTCGGTTCTTGGCTGTAAAGGCCTTTCTGGAAGGCCTTGCATGGCAAAATGCAAGCCGGAGGCACCGCAGAAGACGTGGGCTGGTGAGGCGAGGCAGATGTCAATTCACGGGGGGGGGGGGGGGCTGGTTGCAACGGTTAAGCGGATGTGGGGCGCATGGGGCAGCTCCACATCCCCAGCTTGATTTTTAGGTCTGCACCTCGCCCCAAAACTAGGGCTTATTTTTGGGTAGGGCTTATTTAGGCCCACCCCCAAATCAAGCTAGGGCTTATTTTCAGGGCAGGTCTTACTTTCGGGGAACACAGTACTATTCTACTCTACCTAGAACTCTCCTAATCTTTTCTGAAGTCTTATTTTTATGTTATAAAAATCAGGAAATTATTGCAAGTAGTTATGATATGTAAACTTGGCTATAACCTGCAGTGTTATTTTTCAAAATTGCAATGATAAAGTTAAAAAAATATTTCAAGTACAAGAAATGAACCAGTGTCAAATCAGTGATAGTTTATTTTTTATGTCTTCTCTTAAGCTGCAAAAGTAGGTTTACATTTTCATAATATCAGACTGACATCCTTGTCAACATGATTAGCATTCACCATCTCTCATTCTTGCATACCATGAATTATATTCAGGAATTTTCAATCAGGACTCAGTTTTGTAATGTTTGAAAAGATTACTTGCTTGCAGCTCACCACATTGCCCTCTGTATCCCAGAGAGCTGGGCATGGTCAGCCAGATGGCGGAAGACAATTCGGCTGAGCCTCCATCTCCTTTTCAAACCTCTAGGTCGGGATGTCAGAACACATCGATTGTGGATCCGCACAGGGCAACTATCTCGGGGCAGATCAGCTATCTCCTTATCGGTAATTTCCTGCAACAAGTTTTTTAAAAATGTAAAATTCCCCTCCTATACTTAACCAAAAATTTGTACAATTATGTCACATGGAGTGAGAGTGAAGAATCTCAAAGACTGTTTTCAACTGGAACTGCCAATCCTAAACTGACATGGTAGAGAATCTGGGATCATAGGATTTTTAATCTGTATTTATTCTCTTCCCTGAATAAATACACTGAATCCTTCATATGAAGTCCTATAATCCTTTTAACTACTCCAATAAGAATTAGATATGAAGTGGAACCATTGTTTCTCAACTAAAATATCCAAGATATCTCTGAATAATTAGATTTTTTTTGCATAGAATTTTCTAATTGCATGTTGTTGTTAGTTGTGAAGTCGTGTCCGACCCAGCACGACCCTCTGGACGTTTCTCCAGGCCTTCCTGTCCTCTGCCATCTTCTGAAGTCCATTTAAGCTCACACCTACTGCTTCAGTGACTCCATCCAGCCACCTCATTATCTGTCGTCCCCTTCTTCTACTGCCCTAGCACATTAAAAGGATGTTGTTGTTCAGTTGCTATGATGTCCAACTTCTTGCAATCCCAGGGACCATAGCATGCCAGGGCCCCTGTCCTCCACTGTCTCTCGGAATTTTCTCAAATTCATATTCATTGTGTCGATGACATTATTTAATCAGTTCATTCTCTGTCATCTTCTCCTTTTGTCTTCAATCTTTCCCAACATCTCAACTTTTCCAATGAATCCTCCCTTCTCATTAGGTGGTCAAAGTATTTGAGTTTTAGCTTCAGTATCTGTCCTTCCAAAGAACAGTCAGGGTTGATTTCTTTTAGGATTGACTAATTTGATCATCTTGCAGTGCAAGGGACTCCCAAGAGTCTTTTCCAGCACCACAACTCGAAAGCATTAATTCTTTAGTGCTTAGCCTTATTATTAAAAAGGATACTAGTAATTAAAACTAAAGGAGGAAAGTAAGTTTTTAAAACTTAAAAAGAACTACAATTTAACTGTCTGAACATAGCATTTTACATCATTTGAGATTCTTTAACAGAGGGGCACAATATCACATTCCCAATAAATACAATTAATGTAAGAGGATTATACATTATTATTATTATTATTATTAAACATATATTTAGTATTAAGATGCACCGGTGTCTACCCATCATGTTGGATTCAGCTACTCAGAAACCTATCTGCCCAAGACTATCATCTGGCAGGGTCCAGGAAGAGATGCTGCTGTGCTGCCTAGCCCCTGGAACAACATCCCACTAGAGCAGTGATGGAGTACCTTTTAGAGACTGAGTGCCCAAACTGTAACCCAAAACCCACTTATGTATCATCGGGTGCTGGGTG